TGACCCACTTGAGCCACCGCAGCTCCTACAATATGCCGTACACTGTCCCTAATAAATTATCCCAGCAAGTTTGTGAAACCATTTTGTACAGTGCAGCCCTATTACCTGCATAGAAAAGCCCTCCCGAATAGTTCAGTTTCATGTAGTTTGCAGAAACCCAGGAGAGTGGGAGCTTTCCTGACCTCCTGGAGCAAGCAATTTCACAAGGTGGGAGCCACAAATCCCGCTGTATCGTCCCTTTCCCTGTGAATCCCCAGCAAGATGCAAATGGAATTAACAAGGCTTCTCCCTGGCTTCACCTGCCCCAGAGAGACGGTCAAGGGCGGAGCAGACATTCAACATGCTATTACCGCCCACTGCCGAGAGGGACACTTGTGGCCGGGAGCAAGGAACACCGAGCCCCAGCAACTCTGCCTCAAGGGCCGCTTGCCTCAGACTCTTCGCTGGCAGTGGTCCACGCGTGTTAGCTCACCAGATGTCTCCTCCTGCATACTGTGTAAAGTGCGCTCAATGTTTCTTTAACGGTATTAATAATATTATAAATATGAAAATTACAAAAATGATACTAATACACTCAAACTGTAAATCTCATTTTTGTAATTTTCATATTTATAATATTATTGATATCGTTAAAGAAACATTGAGCGCACTTTACATAGTTCTTGTGGCTCTGTCTCTTCATGTCTATGGACTGTGACCATATTTGTCTTTGTCCTCCTGCATACTGCCAGCTTACTGGAAAGAGGTGGGCGAACTGCTGCCAACCACTGGCACCCCTGAGGCTTACTGGTCCCTCCGCTTGGCTTGCTCCAGGGCCATTTTCACTTCCCAGTCTGTTCCTGGGGGCAGTGCAGGAAACAGGGGTTAGCAGGCGGTTTATTAATTTTAATTACTTGTTTGCATTAGACACAATCTGCCTTTCTCACCGGTACTCGAGGCCGATTACACAGAGCGAGTCAGGGCAGTCACCCAAATGGGACATTCGATGGAGAAAGCACTAGGATTCAGTGGAGAAAAGCACCAGGCTTGTAGAAGTCTAGATCCAACCAGAAATCTAGCAGAGAGACCTGAAGGACTAACACGACACGTTCAGCGGTGCAAAAATTACAGAATAGGATCCTGCTTACAGTAAGCTGCAGTGTAGACCTTAGTCTCTCTTGTCCTTTATCCAAGTAAGTTTGTGGACCATTTTGTACAGTGCAACACTGTTTTACCTGTGCAAAAAGGCTTTCTGGAATAGTTCGTTTTGCATAGTTGATGGAAAGCTGGGAGAGTGGGGGCCTTCCTGCCTTCCTTGGGCAGGCGGTTCCATAAGGCGGGAGCCACAGTGAGTGTAAGAACATCAGAAGAGCCTTGCTGGACCAGACCAGAGCTCCACCTAGTCCAGCATCCTATCTCAAACAGTGGCCAACCAGTTCCTCTGGAAGGCCAACAACAGGCCAAAGAAACGAAGGCCTTCCGCCTGGCTCTGGGATTCAGAGGTTTAGTGCCTCTGAATTTGGAGGTTCCCCTCAGTCCCCATGGCTAGGAGCCATTGATAAGACCTCTCCTCCATGAATCTGTCTAATCCCCTTTTAAAGCTGTTTATTCCTGTGGCCGTCACTGCATCCTCTGGAGGCAAATCCCACGTTTTAATTACTCTCTGTGTAAAGAAGTAGTTCCTTTTTTCCGTCCTGAACCTACTGCTCATCGTCTTCATTGGACGCCCTCGGGTTCTAGTACTCTGGGAGAGGGAGAAAAAGTTCTCTTTATCAACGTTCTTCACCCCCTGCATAATTTTATAAACCTCTATCATGGGTCGTCGTCCCCCCCCCCCCCTCCCCCCCTCTTCTAAACTAAAAAGCCCAAGTCCCCGACTCTTCAGCCTTTCCTCCTAGGGAAGGTACTCCAACCTCCTAATCACCTTGGATACCCTCCCCTGTAATTTTTCCTGCTCTGCAGTGGAGCTGCGGTGGCTCAAGTGGTTAAGACGCTGAACTGCAGGCTGTGGAAGGTCGGTAGTTCAGCAGTTCGAGACCCGGGTGCCGCATGATGGCGTGAGCTCCCGTCTCTAGTTCCAGCTCCTGCCAACCTAGGAGTTCGAAAGCAAGAAATTGCAAGTAGATAAAGAGGTACCACTTCGGTGGGAAGGTAACAGCGTCCCGTGCGCCTTGGTGTTTAGTCATGCCGGCCACATGACCATGGAAATGTCTTCGGACAGCGCTGGCTTTGAAACGGAGATGAGCACAGCAACCCTAGAGTCGGATTCGACTGGCTTTCAAGCAAGGGAACCTTTACCTTTACCTTTAATGTTCTTTTGGAGATACGGTGACCAGAACTGCACACAGTATTCCAAATGATGCTGCACCATAGATCTACACAGGAGCATTACGATCTTGACTACTTTATTCTCAGTCTCATTCCTTATAATCCCTAACACAGAGACCGATTTCCCACAAGCCGCTGCTCTGTGCTTGCTCTTCCCTTTGCCCCCATTACACGTGTCAATTTCACACTAGGTGCTGCACGGCCGCATTTTGCCCCGCAGCTTCGCCCTATTTATTTATTTCTCATATTTTTATCCCGCCCTCCTCACAAGCGGGCTCAGGGCGGCTCACAACAAGGGCATCAAGTGCCAGTATAAAACATTAAAATCAAAATAAAACAATCAGATTAACATTAATAAAGTGCTCAGTAATAGCAGGGGTCATTTCCTGTGGGAGCGCACAGGAGCGGAGCTCCGGCAGTAAAGAGCCCAGGGGGTGGGCACATGCAACAAGCCCCACCCCCTGCTCCCAGCAGCCCTCAGTCGGAGCAAGAAGCAGCCAGGTAAGCTGCAGAGCCCCCCCGCACCCCCCCATCCAAAACAGTCCAGTGGCACCTTTAAGACCAAGTTTTATTCAGGTACAAGCTCTCCCTCCTCTGTGAGGACAGGTCTGCATGTTCCCCCCCCAATAGCTAGCAATCCAAAAGAGTCCAGTGGAGCCTGAGTGGTGGGTGTTGCCTTCTGACACACTTCCGGTGATGTCAGGGTGTGTGGCATATGCAAATAAGTTATGCTAATGAGTTATCCTAATGAGCTCCCGCACCTCTTTTTCTACGAAATGACCCCTGAGTAATAGTATTGCTTCAGTCAAATCAAGATGAAGGCTTGAGAATATTAACCCAGAGCCCATTTTGGCGGCGCCGATCCATCACAGTGCTGTAAAAGTTTTATATTGGGCCGTCCCTCACGGTCGTTGATGGAGGTGGTAGTGGCGGCTCCTAATTAAAAGCCTGGCGGAAGAGCTCCGTCTTACAGGCCCTGGGGAACTGTGAAATTTCCCCCGCGTCTACTCAAAGGGAAGAGCGAGTGCGGAGCAGCAGCTTCTGGGAAATCGGTCGGAGTTTGCCTGTTTCACTGCTGCAGCAGACTGGGTCAGCCCTTTCACTGAGCTATCCACTTCACTCCAATCCAATCCACCCTCTTCTAGTTCCAGATGAATAAATTAAATCGTACTGGCCCCAATACCAATCCTTGTGGGCCCCCACTGCTTACTTCCCTCCATCTGTGAGCACTGTCCATTTATTCCTGCTCTTTGCTTCCTGTTATTCAGCCAGGCTTTAATCTAGGAGAGAACCCGTCCTCTTATCCCGTGACTGCTAAGTTTACTCGGGAGAGCAACAAGGACGATCGGGGGCCTGGAGACCAAAGGCCCTACAAGGAAAGGCTGAGGGACTTGGGAAGGTTCAGTCTGGAGAAGAAGAAGAAGAAGAAGAAGAAGAGATTGGATTTATACCCCGCCCTTCACTACAGGGAGCTGTTCCTGCGGGCAGCAGAGGAGAGGACTCGCAAGAATGGGTTTAAATTAAGGGCGGGAAGGCACACCAGCTGGATATTAGGGAGAACTTTTTCACAGTCGGAGTTGTGCAACGGTGGACTCGGCTGCCTAGGGAGGTGGTGAGCTCCCCCTCACTGGAAGTCCTTAAGCAGCAGCTGGACAAACACTTGTCAGGGATGCTCTAGGCCAGTGGTGGCGAACCTATGGCATGGGTGCCAAAGGTGGCACTCAGAGCCCTCTCTGTAGGCACACGTGCCATCACCCCAGCCAGGCCCAGACCATCATTAAAGTGTCAAATTCTCTGCCAAATAATTTTAAGTAAATGAAAGCATTTGGGATTGCTTTCCTTACTTTGTTTGGGTCATCTTAAGTCAATGTATGAGTTGTTTTTTCTAAAGTAAAACCTCAGTATTCAGGTTAGATTGCCGTGTTGGCACTTTGCGATAAATGAGTGGGTTTTCGGTCGCAGTTTGGGCACGCGGTCTCTAAAAGGTTCGCCATCACTGCTCTAGGCTGATCCTGCCATTGTGCAGGGGGTTGGACTACAGGGCCTGTATGGCCCCTTCCAACTCTGTGATTCTGTGATTCAGTGAGTCTTTGGTGAGGTACCGTGTCAAAAGCCTTTTGAAAGTATATAATGTCTACCGGGTCACCGTTGTCTATAATGCCAACCTTGATAGACTGAGAAGCTGTTCCAGTATAAGGCAGCTTCATTTGTGTGTGTCTCCCATCCATGTACTAACTAGGGCCAGCCCTGCTTAGCTTCCAAGATCTGATGAGAGTGGCTTAGCCTGGGTTCATGCTCTGTCCCCCATACTACTACTACTACTACTACTACTACTACTACTACTACTACTACTACTACTACTACTACTTCCTCTTCCTAATAATAATAATAATAATAATAATAATAATAATAATAAATCTTTCAATTTATTAATCGCTCAATCCTGCAGAGCTTGCTGGCTCTGAGTGATTTACAGTTACTCATTCAACGCGGGACTACGGTAACAATGATTTATGGGGGTAAAAAACATACATCTTTTTTAATCACACACTTCACAGTCTGCGAGGTCACTTCGGCTTGGCTAGATGATGTCAGCTTCTCCAGGTCTTGCAGCGCTGTCGGTGCGCAACAAGCATTCAGTTGTTCCAGTGAGTTAAAACCGCAGTAAACATCCTTTTTTTCCCGTCTTCAGAATGTACATGATCGGGGTCTGTACGGCTGCGTTTGGAACGCTCGGCCTCATGCGGTTTTTCGGCATGCCCTGGCTGTGGAGCGTGGCGGCTGCTCTGGGCATCTACATCGGCTGCGGCGGCTGGAGATTTCTCCGGATCATCTTTAAGACGGCCTTGAGGGATCTCCTGTAAGTGCAAGCGCCTCTCTGTGCTGTAACGCGCTGGATGGTGAACCAGAAACTGTTTTCACTTATTGATGACTCTGTACCTTGTTTCAGCACTAAGAAACTTAATGGGGCTTAGGGTGTGAGCTCTTCCCGGGCCAGGGCCGGGGGCGGGACAAGAGTGCGCTCCCTCAGTCTCATGGCATTTGTTAAGTTTCACCTGAAGGCATTTGGAACAGAAGCTTGTAGTAAATTGGATTTCTCGCTCTTAAGTCCCAGGGAGGTCAAGACAGAACTTGTGCTAAATCTTGTTCCTGTTTATTAAATCTCGTTCCTCCAGCTACGCCAGGTCAGGCAACTGGCTCCCTTCTTGCCTTGCCCATACCTAGCCACAGCAATCCATGCAGCAGTCACCTCCAGATCAGACTACTGTAACTCGCTCTGCACGGGGCTGCCCTTGAGACTGACCTGGATATGACAGCTGGTCCACAGTGCGGGGGCGTGAGTTCTCACAGGAACTCCATAGATGGCACCAGTGTTCCCTCTAAGCTGAGTTAGTGTGAGCTAGCTCACAGTTTTTTAGCCTCCGGCTCACACATTTTTGTCTTGGCTCAGGAAGGGATGGCTCCAGAGCAAATTAATTTAGGCAGCAGCCAAATCGCTCGCTCACCACTTTAATGCCAGTAGCTCACCAAGTAGAATTTTGGCTCACAACACTCCACAGCTTAGAGGGAGCATTGGATGGCACATATTCAATTGGTGCTCCACCAGCTGCACTGGCTCCAGGTTGAATACTGGATCGGATTCAAGGGCCTTTAAGGCCCTACACAGTCTGGGACTGATATATCTATGGGGCCGCCTCTCCTGATATATCCCCCAAAGAGCATTATGCTCAAGGAAGAAAGAACTTGCTGGTGATCCGTGGCCCCAAAAGTGTCCGGGTGTCCTCAACCAAAGCCGGGGCTTTCTCAGCCCTGGCACCGACCTGGTGGAACTCTCTGCCACATGACATCCGTGCCCTGCGGGACCTAACTCAGTTCCGCAGGGATTACGGTTGAGGACAGCTACGGGTTTTTAGCCAGCCCGGCTCCCTTCCTTCCTCCCCCCCTCCTCCCCACACCCGGGAAAGGACACTAAATTGTGTGTTTGTTGGCGCCATCTGAAATGGTTACTGAAATGGTTAGCCTAATTGTTAAGCTTATTTTAATTTAAATGTCATCTGAAATCGTGTATTTTTGGAAATGTTTTCCCTGCCCTGGGCCCTATTTACTGGGAAGGGCAGGTCATAAATCTACGTAAACAATAAGTCTACAAAGCTTGGTTTACCAGGGGACAAGGGAGAGCTGCATGGCTCATCTGTGCTAAAAGGAATTTTCTTACTGTGAAATGTAGCGAATGGCGTGTGGCGAAGAGGGCTCCCAGAACAAAGTACATAATATGCCGGGGGTTTTTTGCTGTCAAGTCGCAGCCTCCTTATGGTGGCCCCGTAGGTCAGTATGAGCCATTATGAGCCCACAGGCACCTTTGGCATTCTAACACAGCATGCTGAGTGCAGACACTTAAAATGGCTGCCACAGGAGGCGGAGCCAGCCACAAAATGGCTACCACAGCTTACCTTCCGTCGCACAGTGTAGATCCACTTGCTTTAATTACCGGATAATTTGCTGGATGGGGTTTTAAAGGTTTTCATGGTTTTTAAATCTGTATATCGCCTCGAGCCCCACAATCGTGGGGATTAGGCGATTCATAAATGTAGTGTCATAATTAAATAAATAAATCCTTGTGCTCTGGTGGCAGCTCCTACCGAAAGCAACGTTTAAAAAAAAAATCTGTAGAGTTAGTCGTATCTGTATTGGCCAATCAGAAGGCTTGCTGGGCAGAACACACACACACCCCTCACGTTCTACAAACACTTGGCAGGCACCAAGAAAGGTGTCGGCACTACCATGTTGAGGACCTCTGCTGTAGGGTTTTCAAGGTGAGAGACTTCAGAGGTGGGTTGCCATTGCCTGCCGCTCCATAGCAATCGTGGGCTTCCTTGGTGGTCTCCCAAGGAAGAGCCAGTTTGGTGTCGTGGTTAATTGCGCAGACACTAATCTGGGAGAACCAGGTTTGATTCCCCACGCCTCCACTTGCAGCTGCTGGATGACCTTGGGCAAGCCATAGTTCTGACAAGAGCTGTCCTTGAAAGGGCAGTCCTCGAAAGAGCTCTCTCGGCCCCACCTGCCTCACAGTAGGGTGTCTGTTAATGGGGAGGGGGAGGGAAAGGAGTTTGTAATCCACACTGAGACTCCGAGTGAAGGGTGGGGTATAAATCCAATCTCTCCTCCTCGTCCTCCATCTTTGTCTATTAACCTGGGCCGACCCTGCTTAGCTTCCCAGATCTGACGAGATAGGGCGAGCCTCAGAATCTCAAAGAGACAACCCCTCCAGAAGACTACTTGGGTTACCCAACAGGCCTGAAGAAAAATATCCTGTCCCTTCAGGAGAGGCTTAATGTGTGGAAATGGGCAGCTGAATCTCTTTAATAGCAGAGAGGAAGGCAACATTACTCGTTATATAACATTCCATTCAGCCCCCGGTAAAGGGATGGGACGTCTTCCTCCAGGCCTGTTTGTAGCTTTCCAAAAGACTCGAGGTTGTCGCTGGAATGAAACTCAGATAAAATCTCGGCTCCACAGCCTCGTTCCCGTTTTGATGTAACCTGGCAGTTTGGAGGCAGTAGACCGTAGAAGATCAAATCAGTCAATCCTAAAAGAAATCAACCCTGACTGTTCCCTGGAAGGCCAGATAATGAAACTGAAGCTCAAATACTTTGGTCACCCATTGAGAAGGGAGCACTCAGTGGAGAAGACCCTGATGCTGGGAAAGATTGAAGGTCAAAGAAGACGGGGACGGCAAAGGATGAGATGGTTAGACAGTGTCATCGATGCAACGAACATGAAGTTGAGCCAACTTCAGAGGACGGCGGAAGACCGGAAGGCCTGGCGTGATCTGGTCCATGGGGTCGCGAAGAGTCGGACTCGACTGTGCGACTGAACAACAACAAATACCGTAGCAGGCACACACCCAGACATGGACTCTACAATAGCCAGTTTTCTCTCCTTTTATCCCCACCGTAACCCTGTGAGGTGGGTCAGGCCGAGAGTGAGGGACTGGGCAAGGGCACCTGCTGAGCGCTGTGGCTGAGCGTGAATCCAAATGGGAGTTCCCTTGGCCCATGAGACCCTCCCTGGCACACTGTATGTAGTTGCATGGTCCTGTTTTCCTCACCCCCTTTTTTTAAAAAAGAAAGAACACCCAAGTAGAGACTGGGGGTCTCAGTGGAAAGGCCCAGGGAAAGGGGTCTTCCTTTGCTGCCAGTTGATTCTCTGCTCAAAATCATCTCCTTCTTACAGCTGTCATTCGTATGGAGTGTTGGTGGAAAGTGCTGTCAAGTCACGGCTGACCTGTGGCGACTCCGTGGGGTTTTCAAGGCCAGAGGCAGACAGAAGTGGTTTGCCAATGCCTGCCTCTGTGTGACGACACTGGTATTCCTTGGGAGCTCTCCCATCCAAATCCTAGTCAGGGCTGACCCTGCTTAGCTTCCGAGATCGAGCCAGGCTGGGCTATCCAGATCGGGCTAGCCTGGGCCGTCCAGATCCGGGGTGGGGGGGAGGGAGAGGATAATCATAGAATCATAGAGTTGGAAGGGACCTACAGGGTCATCTAGTCCAACCCCCTGCACAATGCAGGGAATTCACAAATACCTCCCCCCTCACCCCAGTGACCCCTGGTAAATGCCCAGAAGAGGGGGGGGGAAACCCTGACCAAACTGTCCTGGAGAATAATTGCTTCCTGATCCCAAAGTAGTGATCCCTGGGCATGTAAGAACGGGCTATGGATCAATGTTCCCTCTAAGCTGTGGAGTCTCGTGAGCAAAAATTCTACTTTGTGAGCTACTGGCATTAAAGTTGTGAGCGAGCGATTTGGCTCCTGCATTAATTAGTTTGCTCTGGAGCCCTCCTTCCTGAGCTGAGACAAAAATGTGTGAGCTGGAGGATAAAAACCTGTGAGCTAGCTCACTCTAACTCAGCTTAGAGGGAACACTGGCTATGGTAACTAAGCACTGATGCCCTCCTTTCCTGCCCTCCGATTTCGTGATCTGCCCTTCTTCCCTTGCCATCCTCAAAATTCCAAACACTTGTGGGTGTTTTTCCTTTCCTTGTGGGTGCAATCCTAACTTCTCAGTGGACTTGGAAGGGTATAACTCTGCTTAGGATGACACTGCAAGTGCGACGTGTAGTTTTGGCCCTTGAGCTGGGGAATGTTGATTTCATATCCCTGCTCTGACTGTGAAACTCACCAGGTGACCTTGGGATGGCAGAGAACTCCCAGCCTAAACCACTCCACAGGGTTGTCGTGATGGCAGACGGAGAGAAACCCCTCTGAATGCCACAGAATACCAGTGAGCTGTTCCCTCTCAGCTGAGTTAGTGTGAGCTAGCTCACAGCTTTTAAGCCTCCGGCTCACACATTCTTGTCTTCGCTCAGGAAGGATGGCTCCAAACTAATTTATGCAGCAGCCAAATCGCTCGCTCACAACTTGAATGCCGGTAGCTCACAAAGTAGGATTTTTGCTCACGAGACTCCACAGCGTAGAGGGAGCATTGCCAGTGAGACAGACTTCACATTTCTTACATGAAAATCACATGTAGGAAGTCAAATCATAGAGTTGGAAGGGGCCATACAGGCCCTCTAGTCCAACCCCCTGCTCAGTGCAGGATCACCCTAGAGCATCCTTGACAAGTGTTTGTCCAGCTGCTGCTTGAAGACTGCCAGGGAGGGGGAGCTCACCATCTCCCGAGGCAGCCGATTCCACCGCTGAACTACTCTGACTGTAAACCCCCCCCCCCAATATCCAGCTGGTGCCTTTCCGCCCGTAACTTAAACCCGTTATAAACCCGTTATTGTGAGTCCTCTCCTCTGCTGCCAACAGGAACAGCTCCTTTCCTCCTCTAAGTGACAGCCTTTCAAATACTTCAA